AAATATTCTTGATTTCCATGAAATAAATTTTAAGAGGAAAAAAGGTTAAAATATATTGATGGTATTATTTAATATGGAGGAAAAATATTAATTTAGAAGAATATCTGTTCTACCCCTGAGCCACATTTCAAACCTTTTATTTTTGAAACAGTCTGGCCTTGAACTTGTAAGTGGTAGTGCTCTCGCCTGGCATGCATGGGGCGCTGGGTTCAATCCTCAGCACCACATAAAAAATAAAGATGTTGTGTCTACCGACAAACTAAAAAATAAATATTAAAAAAATTGTCTTTTTAAAAAATTTTAAAAGGCCATTTTTAGGAGATTAAGTAGTACAAATTGATATGAAATACCAACTCTGCCAATTTCTCTAAATAACACAATCTATCAAATCCCAGCTATACACTTTCTAGAAGAAAATATCATGCAATCAAGACACTATTCTTTTACTTGAGAACAAATGACTAACTTTCTTAAATTTTAACTCAGTGTATAAGGCACAGTACGTTTTTCTAAAAACATTTTTCTCATGATCAAAAACCCATATGATGGCAATTGGTTTATGGGTCTTCTGTCCTTTCTCAAAATGTACCCCCTTTTTTTCCCTCCCTAGATCAAACATAGAACCTCATGATAGCAAGTACTTTACCACTGAGCCATATCCCAATCATTTTTAGTTTTAAGAAAGGGTCTTGTGGGGCTGCAGCTGGGGCTCAGCAGTATCGCACTTGCCTGGCATGTATGAGACCACAGGTTCGATTCTCAGCACCACGTTTGAATAAATAAAATAAAGGTCTATCAACAACTACAAAAATAATTTAAAAAAAAAAAGGAAAAAGAAAAAGAAGGGGTCTTGTTAAGTTACTGAGGCTGGCTTCAAACTTGTGATCCTCTTGCTTTAGCCTCTCAAGAGCTGGCATTATAGGCGTGCACCACTGTGCCTAGCTTCAAAAATATTTAACAATGTACAGATGCAAAAAGATACCATATACAAATGAAGTCTTTCTGAATACTAACAAGAGAAGGCAACAGAAAGCTTTCTGTTATTGGAAAAAAACATGACTTTCTAAAATTTAAATTTCTGGCTGGCTTTTATTTCTGTTTAGAAAGAAACCTCTCCTCCCAGCTTTATTAAGATATAATTGACAAAAACTATATTTACTTGACATATAATAGGATGTTTTGATATGTGCATATATTATGAAATGCTCAAATCAAGCTAATTACATTGCATTGTGTACCAGTTAAAAATAAATTTAATTAAGTGAATTAACATATTTACTATCTCATATACTTACCATTTGGTGCTGGGGATTGAACCCAGGGCCTTGTGCATATGAGGCAAGTACTCTATCAACTGGGCTATATCCCCAGCCCAAGACCCCATTTCTTAATATTTTTAAAAAAGGGCTGGAAGCTGGGCACTGTGGTGCATGCCTGTAATCCTAATGGCCAAGAAGGCTGAGGAAGAGGGATCTCGAGTTCAAAGCCAGCCTCAGCAAAAGTGAGATGATAAGCAACTCAGTGAGACCTTGTCTCTAAATAAAATATAAAATAGGGCTGGGGATGTGACTTGGTGGTCGAGTGTCCCGAGTTCAATCCTTAGTACCCCAACCCTCAAAAAAGAAGAGGACTAGGGCTGTTGATCAGTGGTTAAGCACCCTTGTATTCAATCTCTGGTATCAATAATAAAAAAGAAAGAAAAATAACTTGGGGAAGTGCAGGAACACATGCTTGAAATCCCAGCTACTCAGAAGGCTAAGGCAGGAAGATGGCTAAATTCAAGGTCAGTCTGGGAACTTAGTAAGAAAGGTCCTGTTGCAAAATAAAATAGAAAGGGCTGGGGATGTAGCTCATTGGAGAGTGCTAGCCTATTATGCCAATCCCTATGCCACAAAATACAAACACAAAACATGTCATGCTGACCTTAGGAAATTAGATGGATATTAAATGTAGAAATTGCAGCACTTTACCCAGGGGTTTTAACTGTTGGTAAGTAGCTTAAAAAGAAGGCACTTAACTCCTTTAATTTTACATATAATCAGTCACTGAATCCTCATGGCAATAAAGAAAAAGCATCATTGGTACAGATTACTGAAAATAATGCAATTCCCTAAACAGAGCAAAGAATGGATGACTAGTGAAAATAGGTAAGAAGGAAGGAGTTTTCACAGAAAATGATATTGGATAATGGGATGTGAGCAGAATACAATACTTGTAATTTACAAAATAGAGTATTTGCATGAACAGAATTTTTAAAAATCCTGTAAAAATCGTAGTTTAACAGGAAGAGGGAAGGCAGAAGGCAGGCAGGAAGGCCAGTCAATTATTCCATTTATGGAAGAACCAACTTTAGTATAAATGTAAAGCTGATTACTCAGAACACATAAAGCAAAATTTCTCAAACTTTAGCATGCATCACAATCATCTGGAGGACTTGTTAAAACCTGGATTGCTGACCCCCTTCAGTATTTGGGAATTTATACTCAGTAATTTCCTAGGTAATGCTGATGCTTGTGAAATAGGGAACATTAATGTTATTTATTAACCTCTGGGCTAGTTTTAGACAGACAGTAAGGACATATATATCATGCAGATTTTAAACTCTTATGAACTTCCTAAATTGCTATATATACTACCCACCTACCTAACCTTATCAAAAGTGTTACAAGATCAGGGGAGTGTAGGGTATGGTGAGGCAACAAGAATTCAAGTTATTTTTAAGGAGAATCTTAAAATTTACAGAAGGATCTGGAAACCACAAATTCAAGAGTGCAGCATAGAACACAACACAGATAAAAATTTGAACACTTGAGAACTAACATTACTAGAGATAAGTAGTCAAGTAACAAAATAAATATATAAATAAAAACCAGTTAAATTCAAAACAGTTGACTAGGCTCTTTGTTAAGTATTTGTAAGTAATTTCCCCATACATTAGCCCAAACAAAAATATACACTACTTATAAGTCTGGGGCCTTTGGGGTTGATTATAAAATAGTTCAAACCTTTGATTACTTAAATGCTTAGGATCTTCCACAATTCCTAAGGACAAAGAGTGTTAAGAAAAGCATAAAAACTAGTGTCCACAGCTGTAATCACAGTGATACTATCTCAAACCCTGAAGAAATTAATATGTAATCAGCATACTGAAAAAGAATACAATAACCAATAATAGACATTTGGATGCAAATTCCTTTTGAGGTTATTTTTAAATACCCAGACTTGATCCATATAGTAGAAAACATTAAGGAAACTTTATACATAGAAATTAAACTTTATAAAAAATTCATTAACAAAATATACACAATCTAATTGGTATTAAATGGAAATTTAACATAGATACATAAGACAATACATATTAATGATGCACTGATATGGGGTTAAATTTTTCTTTTAAATAGTCTTCTTGAATCTTTATTAGGAAAAAAAAAAACTTAGAAGATTATTTGATTAAAACAAAACAAAAAACCTCACCTTGGGCCCTTCAACTTCCCAGGTATTCAATTATATATTTCGGTATGTACATTGAAGTCTTTATTTTTTCATGTGCACTGTGAAAGGTGGGGAGAATAGTTTATAAAAAGTCCCAACCTTTCTGAAGCCAGGGTGTTTAACCCAGAACACCTATGTATTCTGGGAAACCACTGAACATCAAATGGTTTAGGGTGGGTGGACATGACCCAGCAGTCTTTAAATTTAAAAGTCTTTTATTAGATGGGTCAGGTTCCTCTGGCTATAGTTGTATCTGCTAAACCTTCACAAGAGATAATATTTCATTATTAAGACAGAGATACTGCAAAGGATATGTAATATATTATGTATCAAAATTCTTTAAAAGCCAAAGTTTTCAAACTCAAGATAAAAGCTTCCTGATAAGAATTACACTGCTGATGCTCAGTAATTATAAAAATAAAACCTTACAACGACATATACAGATGCATATCACAGGATATACAGAAGTAAGAGGCTGACAATCACCATTATACTGAATCTCTTAAACTGGATATACAATTTACCTAGTATGTTTCCTTTGTGTAATAAAGTTTTCGAGGTAAATTCAATAATTTATCCCACTACAAGGGTCTGATATTATGAATAAAATTCTCAAGTGTATTTGCTCATGAACATCCACTAAAAGTACCGTATAAAGTTCTAAGAATTTACTTCATATCACTGGGCATATGTGTTTTGTGTATTTCTAAAACACTTTCTTAAATGGGGTTAAACTATATTCACAAACAAGTTTAAAAAATACAGGATAGTAAAACATTTTGAATCTTATAGCCATATGATTTCCTCTGACATCATCCGATTCTAAAGCTTTGTTTCACAGATGAAACAGGTCTAAAAAAGGCTGTTTTATTTCACTGATATACAATTATGGGTTTGATTAACTTCTGTTCTCTATTGGTCTCCTTTTGGTCCTGCATCTTGCATTTCCCTCACCACAATCACTATGATTATTCTACCTTTTCCTCCTCTCCCATCTTTTTTTCCAGGTCCCATTTCCCTCTCATGTCCCCGTCCATTAATTACTCACCTTCTATTATCACTTTAAAGAGGATTCTTACATGCATATCCTAGCAGCTTTTAAACTTAATTAATTTTATAAATTAGTATAAATAAAAAATACTTGTTACATAGAATTCAAGGTTAATTCTTTTACTATTCATTCTAAAAACAATGTAATTGAGCATGCATTAGTACTAGTTTGAAAAACCTTCCAATCATTATAACTTGGGGTTTGATTCTACTCATTTTTATACCTGTATTTTAGCTACAATACAACCATGTTGGTAATTAACCAGGAACCCAAAATATAAAAAGATGCCATCTTAGCAAAAATCAAGATTGGTTTTAAAGCACTGAGTCTGCTGGAACAGCTCTTTTCTTTCCTGAATAATCTATTTAGGTATTCATAATCACCCATTTGGAACACAAAATACTTTTTGTCAATGCACGATTAAATTAAATGATGCAAGGAAAAAAGAGGCTCTCACCCCCAATAGTACTCTCTTGAAATTCATGAAACTGGCCTTTCACGAAACGAAGGACTAGACTTGATTTGCCAACAGCAGACTCTCCCAGAAGTACTAGTTTGAACTGGCATATTTTATTTCCAGTGTTTGGCCCATTTGGTCTTGTTGCTCCTCGATTAGCCATGTCCAAATTTGAAAGAAGTTTCTAATTTCAGACTTCTAAATGCACTTCCAGGATGCAAAGTGTCAATTTTTTTTTCTTTCTGGAGGTCAAGAAACCTGTGAAGAAACAAATATAAATTAAATATATGAATCAGTGAAACAAAGCAAGCCTAGTACTCATGACTTTAATAAGTTTTACCCATAGCACATTGTTATATAATCACAACTTCAACTGGACATTCAATGCCATTTACTTTATTTTACTACTTTTTAAATAAATAATTTAAAGGCATAAGATTCAAGTACCTTGATCACTTTGTAATTTGTAAAATCACTTTGTAATTTTCAGTGCTTTATTTTTTCTAAAGTTAACTTTCCTAGAAGAACATATCCACTGAACAATATAAAGTACAATACTTATAAATGAGGAAACTAAGGTACAGAAAAGTTAAGTAACTTGGCTGAGGTCATACAGTAACTATGACAGAAGTGAGACAGAGCTGAGTTTCAAACCCAGGCAACCTGACAGGTAACTCAAGAGTTCAGTTTTTAAAGCGAGACTACATGGGTTAAAATTATAAATGGAAAACTTCTGCAATACAACTTAGAATTCAGTATTGGAAGGTCTCTGTTAAATATCTTAAGTTGATGATAATTTTAGGGCAACAAATATTTTAAAGCTCCCAAGTTTATGTGCCTAGTTGATAAAACTAGCCTGAATAACAGATTCTATCTAATAATGCTAATTTTCAATCTCAAAGAAATCAGTGAATATTTGAAGTATTCTCTTTCAGTTTACCCACAAATCAATAGTTCACTCCCACCTTTAACGAAAATCTAAATATAGCCGGGCGTGTGGCACAAGCCCAGCAACTCTCAAGTTATTTGGGAGGCTAATATAGGAGGATCCCAAGCTCACAGCCAGTCTCAGCACCTTAGCAAGACCCTGTCTCAAAAAATAAAAAAAGGACTGGGGATTGTGGCTCAGGGATAAGCACCCCTGGGTTCAATCCCCAGTGTGTGTGTGTGTGTGTGTGTGTGTGTGTACATAAACATATCTAATTATATTCTTACTAATAAAATACATTAAGTTAATGATTCCCTCCTAAAATCCTTGCTATATTTCATTTAGCCACCTAATAAATTTGCGTTCCTCACAAAATATTTTATATAAGAAACACCCTTAATATGAATTCATCATTAAAATATCCATGAGATTTTGGTTCTTAAGACAGCAAAATCACCTATACTCAAATGCTAGCGCTGAAGAATCCTTATCTTTTACCATACATGCTGACATATTTACAGTTGAAATGATATGATGCTTAAGTTGCTCCCAACCAATAGGATATTAATAAAACTACCAATTCACTTCACCCTCAAAAATATAACAGATTTGGGAGTCAAATCTTGGCTATACCAATTTTTACTTTTTTAAATTTCCAAGGCTCTATTTCCATAATACCCAACTTGCAAAGCTGTTATGAGAACGGAAGGAGACAATATATGTAAATAACCTCTAATACACTGCCTACTATATAGCAGTTTATGAAATTGGCAATTAAAAGTAGCCCTTTGATAAAACAATGCCCATACATCAATATTGTCATGCAGAGCAAAAATATACCCAACTCTCAAGACACACATATTATCAATTTAAACACTTGCAAATTTAATCTACAAAACAGTAAAAAACTTATCAAGGACAACATGCTCCAAATTTCTATGACACTTCCAAAATTCAGGGAAAATAGGAGATTCCCAGAGAAAAATAAAAAAAAATTCTCATTTAGCTTTGCTTTTTAAAATAAAATGCTATGGAATAACGAGTACTCCTAAGGATCTGAAGCAGAAAACAAACTATATTTAATTATATAGTTACTGTAACATTAAGGTTAAAAATTACATTCAAGGGCCGGAGTTGTTAACTCCATGGAGTGCCTGCTTAGCACACAGGAGGCCCTGGCTTCAATCCCCAGCACCACACACACAAAATTATGTGCAATCAATCAAATCACTTGTACTCACTACTGAAACTTTTGTTCTTCAAAAGGAGGATTCTGCATAATATGTATTTCAATTTTTTAAAAACCAACGTGTATTCTGTACTTAAAAGTCCTTTTAGGTGTTCTTCAATCCAATACTTTGTGGGCATTTAATTTGTGCAGAGACTGTTCTATGTACTTCTCTTGCAACAATCCTGCCAGTTCAAATTATCTCTATTTTACGTTAAGAATAGAGATTCTGGAAGGTCCTGAGTATTCCCAAATACACTTGGGTAGCTTTTTCGTATTAGGTAAAAGGCAAGCTGATTCCATTTCAGCGAGACAAAAACTAAGTATGTGAACTATGACGTTCAGAGTTTAAAAGGCCTGGAAGTCTCAGGGAGGTAACCTGCTTCCAGAGAAGAGAATATTAGAGCAAGTTTCATGGTTTCTGCCCGCTGAGGGAGTTCAGAGGCCCAATTGTCTTGAATTTCCTTAAAGCCGCGGTTCACCAACTCCCCTAAGATACGAAAAAAGTCTCGGACCAGTTTATTTTGACCAGCCTCCCATCGCTTCCATTACCCGTCTTTGGAAGTCGCAGGTAGGCGGAGCTCCCCAAATCCACACCTGCTGTAGGCCCCGGCTCCCGTCTGGAGACCACCTGAGTAGCTGAGAGCCAAGCCCGGCTGGCTGGCGCGAACGACACGCACCAGCCCCTTCGGTGGCCTTTCTATCCTCCCCTGACCTAGCTTTCACTGCGACCCTTCGGACTGCCAAGGCAGGGGCCCGGCGGAACCGCGGCCTCCAGGACTCTTTCCACGGCGCCATCTTGAGAAGGGAAGAGGGTGACACCCGTCGCTCCCTGAGCTAGTCCCCAAATCTCTGTCTTTGGAGCTCCTTGAGGGATGAGTCACCAGAACTGGCAGGACAAGGCGCCGGGTTCAATAGCTCTCTGGTCCAGAGGGATGATGCGCGAGAGGGAGGAGGGGCTGGAGGCTCAGAGCGCGCAGGGCCGCGGACAGGCTGGAGACCGCGGATAACCTGGGGTCCCGGGCCGCTCTGCGCAGGGGGAGGGGCGGCTTGGTTACCTGAGACCGCGCCACGCGAAGCCGCGGGGCCGCAGCTTCCTGGTGTTAAGGCCCAGGCGTGGCCCGAAGGACGAATGAGGCTGTGGCTGCGGCGGCGTCTCCTCCTCGCGCCGCTCCCCTCACACTGGACGGTGAGGAGCTGGAGCCGTGGTGCCGCCCCTGTCGGGCTCCGTCTCCGCCTCTCTCCGCTCCGCCTTCCTCCTTCCTTTCTCCTCCTCCTCCGCCACCGCTGCCGGCGCTCGAGTTCCGACTGATTCTTCCTCCTCCTCCCTCCTCCGCCTCCTCCCCTCAGGCCGGCCGCCGGCTCCTTCACAAACCAAAACACAAACACTCAGGTCCCGGCGCTGGAGCCACTTCCGCCGCCCAGCACCGACCCCGCCGCCACGTCGCTGCACGCAGCGAGCTACGCCACTTCGTCACTTCCGCCGTCGCTTAGTTGCCCGCACAGCCGCCCTTTCCGATCCCTCTCCGCCAGGGCCTGGGGGCGGGGCAGGGCGGGGCGACTGTCACGTGAAGCCACCGAGCCGCCCGGGAGGGATCGGCTGTCTGTCTCCGCCTCCGCCTCCGACACCCCGGCGCGCGTCCCCGCCCTTGCCAGCGCCATTGTTATCTGGGCGGGGATCGCTGGGTTTGGGTCCCGGCGGCAGGACGGAGTATCTCCCACGTTGTTCTGCTTTTGGAGAAGACCCAAAGCCTTTGTGTTTGTTGCGCTCAGCCTCTGTGGGACGGCGAGATGATCCCTGAATATTCGCTCACAGACCCCCCCCTCCCCACCTCACCCCACCTCATAACATCTCTGTCCTGGCAACTCAGCAAAGGGGCTTTTTTGAGATCTTATCTAGTAGGAGAGGTACCTCCCCTCAATACGTCCCAAGGGATCAGTGGATCTGGAAAGAGCAGTGAATTGTGTTAACTATTCTGGGGAGAATAGGACCTCCCCATCCCCAAAACTATATGTAGAGATGGTGAAATATGAGAATAATAACGAGCTTTTTTTTGGAGGGGGTATTTATTTTGGTAGAGAGTAGGAAGGGGCAAATCCTAAACCAATAGCTCGCTTTTATTAAGTTTCCCTTAGAGAGTTACTGTACCAAAAGCTCTACAAAAATTATCCCATTTGATTCTTAACACTGCGATTCTTTCATTCGGAAACCAGCTCCTCGCCCATCTCCCTGCATTTAACCTCAAAAGTCATCCTCACCGCTGTAAACCCATGTTTTTAACACAGTACCTGGCAGCAGGAAACCTGGGTCATGGTTGTGGAATTAATGAATGAGGCGTGCCTGCTTTACAGGTAAAAGAATTTGAAGTAGAAGAGATTGAGTAACTTGACCAAGATACCTGCCTATTTGTGATGAAGCTGGATTCCAACCTGGGGGCTAGCTCCAGAATGTGAGTTCTTAAACAGGATTCTAGTGAAAGACAGCCCAAGGTGTTCATTACCTTCAACAGCAGACCTACTTAAAACAGGCTTTTTGGGTTAATTTTTGCACCATAGTCAGTCTCTAGTGGGGTATTTGAAACACAAACAAACAAAAGCAATTTGATAGAAGAATGTTAAATTGATTTTTCCTCAGAATAAAGGCTACTTTTCAGTTTGCAGTTTATAATTTGTAGCCCTCTTGTGAGGACATAAATATTATTGAAGTACACCTCGGCTATGGTATTCTGTGGGTGCTCATTCAGCATTGTGCAATCAAGATGATTTGAACCTTTCAACAGTCTCAAAAATCAACTCTCCAATCACCAGAAGAACAGAATGCGTCATATGGAAATGGTATCTGTGGCACTCTATCCCCAAGGGGTTATTCCAATGTGATATACTAGTCATGGTAATAGCTTATGCTCAGTCCCAGGAAGAATCAGGAAATAGGTTATGTCACATCAGTTTTGTCATGTCAACAACATGTCCCAAACCAAACCTATTCTGATTCACACCTGCTTCTGCTTAGTGACTAACATTAACTGCTTCCCAGTCACTCAGACTTGGAATTACAGCATCATTTTCAACTCCTCCTTGTTACACTCATACATCATCATTCATTCTTATCACTAAAAATTCTCTAATCCCCGAATTTGAGGTCTAATCCCAATGTGTGGGCCATGAGAAGGATTCATATGAACTGAAATTAATGCATACTCCTGCTTCGTCAATCCTTTCTTTACACTTAAGCCTGTCATTTTCCTACTCAGAAATGTTCAATGTCATTTCCTTATTTGATAACTCTTCTATTTCTTTAGCTTTACTCTCCCCAAATTGTGGCATTGTCTTCTGACCACTAGTATGTATCCTGTGTCCCCTGAATATTGCTTATGTGTTCCCATCTTGGCATCTTTGGTCACTTTTTTCTCTACCTGAAACGCCATTACTGTCCATAATGGCTAGACTTACTTTGGCCAGAATACCAGTTCCTCTAAACTCTAGATAGCATTTAAGTCTTCTTGTATTGGATTTAATTACCTTATTTCTGTAGTTTCACACTATGGAAGAGTTTTACTGCTTCTAAAGAGTTTTAATGCTTCCAAAATTGGCCTTATTTTATATTTAGCTTTTTATTTCTTTAGGATTATAAATTTTTAAGGATCAGGACCATCAGCTATTCATCATTTCCTCACAGAACTCTGGTTGATTTATTAGGGTCCTCTAAAGTATTTGTGAACTTAATTACATTTAGAATGATAAATATTGAACTTCAGAAAACCTCACAATGTCAGATACTGAAATTTATGAATTGCTAGAAACTCCCTATCTGAACATGCTAGAATATTGTTTTTGCATTCATTTCTGTCTACAGATTTTGTCTTTTAATTCACTTCTTCATAAATAGATTCCAAACCAGATATAGTGGCACACACCTGTAATTCCAGTGACTCAGGAGGCTAAGGCAAGAGGATCTCAATAGAAGCCAGCCTCAACAACTCAGCAAGGCCCTAAGCAACTTAGTGAGACCATTTTTCAAAATAAAAAATAAAAAGGGCTAGGGAAGTGGCTTAGTGGTTAGGCCCCTGGGTTCAATCCCTGGTACCAAAATAAATAAATAAATAAAATACATTCTACATTATTTTACAGTTTAATATGTTTGGGTGGTGCTGACCTGGTGGCTAGCACCTCTAAAGATCTAGCAATAGTTTTGTTTTATTGATTGGTTGTTTATTCCCAAGCCTACTTACCATGTGCTGTATTTACTGGTAATTTTGGAGAAATTAAAATGCCACATAGTAAGAGGCTTGGTTATTATGGCCACTCACAATATGCCTGTGTATTTCTTTTTCCTAACCTGAAAAGATTGAAGAGGACTGATAATTGTATACATTTAATGTCAAATGTGAGCTCTTATAGATGATAGAATTTGTTAAGCAAGCTACAAAATGGATGGACCTAAATCAAGTCATATAAATTTGAACACTGCCTCTTCTCACCCTCAAATCTCCAAACACTAAATCACAAATTCCCAGTACCTGGCTTTTCTCACACTGTGTAGCACCACATAGCTTCTACCTTCTCTTCAGGAAATCTTTCTTCCCTTGTGTACCTGAAGAACAAATTTTTTGTATAAGTAAATACTTATATTCATATTCCTTTTTTTTTTATTTGTAGTACTAGGGATGGAACTCATGGCTTCCTGCATGCTAGGCAGATGATCTACCACTGAGCTACATCCCCAGCTCTTTTTATTTTTTAAGACAGGGTCAAGTTGAGTTTGAGGTCAGGTTGGCCTCAAATTTGCAATCCTCCTGCCTCAGCCTCCAGAGTAGCTGGGATTACAGGTGTGCCACTGAGCCTGGCTTTTATATTTACTCTTTTTTTTTTTTTTTTGCAGGGCTGGGGACTGAACCCAGGGCTTCAGGCATGCTAGGCAGTTCCTTTACCACTGAATTACATTTACCCTTTACATTTACTTTTTTTTTTTTTTTTTTTTGCTACTGGGGATTGAGCTCAGGGTTCCCACTCCCCACACACGCTTTATAAAATTTTGACATAGTCTCATTAGGCTTATGGCTTTTCTAAGTTGCTGAGACTGGCCTCAAACTTTCAGTCTTCCTGCCTCAGCTTCCCTAGTCACTGGAATTACATACGTGCACCACTGCACTGGTCCTTTACATTTACATTAATTGAGACTATTTAATTTTTTTTTTTCTTGGGACAAACCAAATGGTAGTTCTAATATAAGTCATGATGTTAAGACATGGAGAAAAAGGCCATGGAAACCTGAACTGGTCATGTTTAAAATGCTTGTGTATGAGGCTTGAGGTGTAGTTTAGTGGTACAGCATGTGCTTACTTAGCGTGTGGCTCTGGGATCAATCACCAATATCAAAAAAATAAGTAAAAAGTCTGGCCAGGAGCAGTGGGTCATGCCTGTAATCCCAATAGCTCAGAGGCTGAGGCAGGAGGATTTCGAGTTCAAAGCCAGCCTCAGCAAAATAGCGAGGCACCGAGTAACTCTGTGAGAGCCTGTCTCTAAAAAAATACAAAATAGGGCTGGGGATATGGCTTAGTGATCAACTGCCCCTCAGTTTAATCCTCCACATTCCCCCAAACGCACACACCAAAGAGTCTGATATGGGCATGGTTTCAAACATTTATAAACTCAACTTGGGAGACTGATGCAGGAAAATCCTAGGTTCAAAGTTTGCCTGGACAACTTAGGAAGACCCTGTCTCAAAATTAAAAAGGGGATGAGGATCTAAGTAGTACTTGCCAGGTATTCTTGAGGATCTTGGTTTATTTCCAACTACTGGGGGAAAAAAAGTCCATGTCTTTGGAGGACATTGTTCAGGCCCCAGCTCAAATTCTGAAGTGTTTTCCTCCATGTCAAAGCATCCTGTTTTCTTCATAACCCCTATCATTATCTGAAATAAAATGATTTTATTTATGCATTCACTTGATGGTTATCTATTTCTACGGGAATATAAATTCTATGAGACAGGGATTGGTTAATATTCAACTTTATTTCCGGTACTGACAAAATTGGGACTCAATACTTATTTGTAGAATGAATGAATTAGATAAGCCCTTGTACAAATATACCTTGATTTACACACTATCAAATCATTTAAAGATCTCAGGGGCAGATGAACATTCATATTAATGATCTAGAAAATGATAGCAGTTAAAAAATATGAAATAGTATTCCCTATTCACTTTTTAAAAAAATTTTGGATTTTACAAGTTTTTTATGCAGACTGGAATCCTACAAATTCTGCTCAAATTATATGTTAGGTGTTCTTTGGCCCCACATATGTAGAAAATGACAAATATTCACCAAATACACTTGCATTAAAACCTGACAAAAAGGCTGGGGTTATAGCTCTGTTGGTAGAGTGCTTACCTCGAATGCACAAGACTCTGGGTTCAATCCCCAGCACCACAAAAACAAACAAAAAAATGTCAAAAATATAACCC